GGATGACAATTTGCCATATGTAGAGTTCTCTTACAACAACAGTTACCAAACCAGTTTAAAGATGGCCCCTTTCGAAGCCTTGTATGGAAGGAGGTGCAGGACACCGTTGTCATGGGACGAAGTTGGAGACCGGCCAGTTGTTTGGACCTGACTTGATTAAAGAGTCTGAACAGAAGGTGAAGTTGATTCGCGATAGGCTCAAGGTAGCCCAGTCCAGACAGAAGAGTTATGCAGATTCTAAACGCAAGGAGACCATTTACGAAGTCGGAGATAGAGCTTATCTTTGAGTATCTCCACTTCGGGGAACAAAGCGTTTTGGAGTTAAAGGGAAGTTAGCGCCACGATTTGTAGGACCATATCGAGTTTTGGAGCGTATGGGAGAAGTGGCCTACAAGTTGGAATTACCTGAAGGATTGTCAGGAGTTCATGATGTGTTCCATGTTTCCCAGTTGAAGAAGTGTCACGCGGAGATGGCTGACATACCGTTGAGACACACAGTGCCTTTGGAAACTATTCAGTTGGATAACGACTTGACCTACGAGGAGAGACCCGTTAAGATTCTCGAGTTTGCCAATCGAGTCACTCGCAGCAAGGTTATCAAGTTTTGCAAAGTTCAATGGAGCCACCACACAGAGGATGAAGCCATCTGGGAACGAGAGGAAGAATTGCTCAAGGACCATCCTCACCTATTTCCTAGCCAACCCGAATCTCGAGGGCGAGATTCATCTTAAGGGGGGTAGGTTTGTAACATCTCAAATTTTCAATTTGGAATGTTATACATTAGATCATCATTGCGTATCATATTTTATTTTATTTGCATTTTGGTTGATCCTAGAAATTCTACGCAACTCAATGACCCACGGAGAGAGTTGGGGATTTCTTTATTTTCATATTTGAGTTTTCTCAAATTTTGAGAATAGGATCATTTGATTTTAATTATTTTATTATCAATTATTTCTATTACAAAAATATGAGAGAGGGAATAAAATGACTTTCCCAAAATAAAGAAATATTGAGGATTTAATAATAAAATCAAATAAGATTTTATTTCGGAGTTTTTCGGTGTTTTATTTGAATTTAGGAAAAATGTGCGATTTTCAAAATTGCATTTAGGCCCCAAATAAATGTTCACCTTGTGAGGCTTGATTTTAGAAGCCCGTAAAAATTTATTTCAGAATTTTTGGAGTCCGTTTAGTATTTCTTTTTATTTTTCTTCTGCGCGTAAAAAAAACGCGCACCGACCTAGGGCCGTGTCCGACTAGGACTCCCGGCCCGTTAGGCTATATATAGCTGAGGGAGGCCCAGCCGAAACCCTAGCCAGCCCCAAGCCGCCGCCGCCCCACCGCGCTGCCGGACGCCGCCGCCGCCGCATGCCACCCGAGGTCCGCCGCCGGCTCGATTTCCGCGTCGGTTTTTTTATTTATTTTTTTTCGAAAAACCGTTCGGTTTTTCCGTCGGTTTTTTTAAATAGATCGGTTTTTAAGGTTTTTTTAAATAGCGAGCGTTCGTCCGTTCGTTCGTTCTAGCGAACGTTCATCATTTTTTTCTTTTTCTTGGATTAAATCCGCGATTTTTCTGATCGTGATTCCTGATCCGATTTTCGTTTTAGTATATCTTTTCGCTCGTTTATCGGAATCAGGCGATTCAAGCGCCTCGAGTTTCGTCTCGAAACCCTCTATCTGTTTAACCAACTTAAACAAGATTTTGCTACTGTAAAAATTGCCTTAGATCCAGATTTGTAGAACGACGTTGTTTTCTTTCGCCGTTTGACTTTCATTGTTTCGTTCGATTTGATTCTTTTTGCCAACCGGAGTTCTTAAGTTGAACCTTATGGTTAGATCTCTTATTTGAGTTTTACCCGTGCATTAGATGAGTACTTATTGTATGCTTGTTTGTTTGTCTGCGATAGAATACCCGGAGTATGCCGCTTGTTACTTCGAATCTCTAGGTTTCCCGGATCATCAGTAAGGAAAGTAACACTTTGATCATACCTTTTCTACTACCCAGTTTTATTACATTAGATCAAATCCCCACACATTGCATGATTAGGATTCTAATTAAATTGTGGGATGGGAAGTAGTTGAGGTAGTACCTATTACCTGTTTATTATCAAACCTTTGGGAGTTACTTCTGCGTTTGCTTATCTTGCCATGCTATGCTAGTAGACGTGGATTGGGTGAATGATATCCATGACAGATGTGAGTTTTGTTAATTAATGGTTTATCTAAGGTGGCAAATTAAACACACATCTGGGTGGATTGAGGCACCTGGGTATTCCAGGACTTGCCTATTTTTTTTCGGACCGCCACCCAGGCTCAAAGGGATCATGAGACTATTCATACTAGAAAATTCCGTGTGCAGCCACAAGCTATTATGGGCTCTAGCATAGTTGACTAAGTCGTGCGAACTCTTACAGTGGTAGACTAGCAGATGTAGGGATGTAGGTGGTACGGTCTACCCGATCGTAAGGTGCTAGCACTTCTGAAAGACTATGTCTCGGTCATCCGTCTTCTCAAACACCTTGTAGTGCGAGAAACCAAACGGAGGCGATCGATTCTTGTGGGGAAAAGTGCGCAAACATCTGCAGAGTGTAATAAACTAATCATGGTTAGCCGTGTCCCCGGTTATGGACATCTTGAGTATCTAGTACTTGGATTATCATGTGAATCTCAACATGTTACTCTAAATTAATTTTGTTGGGTTTTGTTCAATGATGATGCTTAATTGGGATTGAGAATGCTGTCAACCATTCTCAATGTTTAACAACTACCATGATAGTAATTAAATTTATTCCTTTGAAGTAGGGAAAAATTGGCTTTACGCAAAACTGTAATCATAAAGCTTTCCACCAGCCAAATATGCATATAGTATAGCTGTTTCATTCGATTACTCTCTATGTGTTACATTGCCAGCATATTTCATGTGCTGACCTGTTTCGGGCTGCAACGTTAATGTTGCAGACTTTTCAGACGACGATTAAGGAGTCTTTAGGTCGTGGTTCTATACCCAGTGATCCCGTTGGAGTTGATGGACTCACTTATCTTCCAAGCCTTCCGTTGTTATCGTTATTAGATGGCCTTAAGCCATATTTACTGTAATAAGTTCTCGTTTGAGACACTCGATGTAATAAGTGTGTGATTGCTACTCTGTTATAACTTGTGTGGTGTCAGCATTACTGATCCAGGGATGACACCGGAGCACAGAGATCAGACTGTTTGAGGTCTGGTCGCTACAGTGCCCGCCGATGCCGTGGCCGTCGCTGTCTCCAGTGGTCGTTGTTGTCGTCGTCGTCGCTGACGAGGTCAACGTAGTCTGGCAGCGTCCAGAGGTGGGACGGCAGTGCATGGTACACGGGGCGGGCTGGAAGGCGGGAGGTGCCTGCACCACCTCCTCCCGTGGCGACGCCTCTCGCTCCTGTGACCGCGTGGCGTGGGGCACCAGTTCACGCCCCCCACGGCGTCGGCCATCTCCGGAGCCATGCATGACCAGCTCAACTGCTGGCCCACGAGGCCCGGATGGAACCTAGCCACGGGCTCCTCCTCCATCACTACTCCATCCTCACCATCTCCAGCTCGGGGATGGCGACGTCGTCGGACGCAAAGAGGGTCATCATCTCCTCGAGGCCCGCCCATTGGCGCTCATCGTGCGTCCTCATGGAGTCCTCCATGGCGCATTGCATGAGCCGGGCCTCCTCCTCCGCTGTCATGCGAGGAGGTGGTGGTGGCAACGGAGATGGTGAAGGCGACGGCGTGGTCATGAGGCCGCGCACCCGCATCCGCCCGCGCACCTGGGGAGCAGCCGCTCCGCGCTCTGGACGTGACCGCCGCGTCCTTGTCGAGGTGCCGACGAAGAAGGAGGCGCACCGCACGTCGTGCTTGTCCCTTAACCACGTGTCCCAGAGCCCGGAGTCGGGGGCGTACCTGGGGTCGTAGAAGAGGTCGTCGGGGAGGAGGCGGCGGCGGCGCTTGATCTCCTGGCGGCGAG